AAGGATCCTGAAGATTTCTCCAACCCAACCTTTCGAATCTCGGAAACTTTTCAAAAAATGCGTCTTACTGTCTTACTGTCTTGTACTATATATAACTAAGGAATCCATTAAGGAAATTCTCCCAGGGTCCCCTCTACAAGACACAATAATCTGCGCGGACGAGCCCTCTCATTTCCTCCCCCCTCACCCTCAGATTCAAACTGCCTTGGAATTCACAATCGGAACGAGGACCTGGCACGAAGTCACCTACCTGCAGGCCCGCCAGCAACGTCTCGCCGCACCGCTGAGTCAGGATGATGCCCCTGCTGTGGGTGTACAACTTCAGGTGCTCGCCATCGAAGTGGACCGTGTGCCTCTTCTCGCAATCGCACGTGTAGTGGTACACCTGCGTCTCGAGGGTCCACTGCGCGTCGTAGATGGTTACGCCCTTCTCCGGCGTCAGCCTCCACGTCGTGAGACAAGGAGGTGGGGCTTTCGGGCAGGGGGCTAGGAGTCTGCCTCGGGCGCCCAACTCCTTGAAGTCGGAGTATCCCATCTGGCTCGACCGCAGTGGGTTCCGCAGAGCAGTGATCACGGGGTCGTGGACCTGTTCGTCCGCTCGGAGGACCCTGGGTGCCGTCCGCTGCACGCCCTTGGCGAACAGGCTGAGCACCGGAGCCGACTGGGAAGGTCCGCTCTCCCCGTGCTTGCACACCCCCACACACTCCACGCACACCGGAACCGACCCCTCCTCGAACGCCTCAGCCGGCCTTTCGGCCGTGCTGGACAAGTCCACCTTCGGATGCGCGTCGAAGCCCTTACCCCTCCTGCCGGCGTAACCTCGCTCCCCTCGCTCGGCATCAGTGGCTGGCGGTGGGTCGTTCACGGCCCGTTCGGCATCCTCGAGTGCCTCCTCCGACCCCTCCCTGAACTCCAAGCGTTCTTGGCACACCTCGCAGCCCGGCCGACACTCTCGAACGCCGCCCTTGTCCTCCGGCACGGCCAACGCACGCACGTGCCGCACGGTCTGCTCGTCGAACACGCGCGGCGGCGCTTCCCGAGGGACCTCAGAGAGTCGAGGCAACCACTCAGAGACACCCCGGACCCGCTTTGCGGCGGCTTCGGCCTCGTCCTGCGTGAGCGTGAGGGTACGGACCGGGGTGAACACCTCTGCCTCCTTGAGGGCTTTGCGCACTCGCTGGACGTGCTTGCAGTTGCGCGTGCAGCTACTCTCCCGCTTCCCGCTGCAGAAGAACCGGTCCTGACCCGTTTGGATCACGAAGTTCCTGGCGGGGCCCGTGTGGGCGTTCCGTTTGATCGCAAACACCCGCTCGAGCGGCTGAGCCCGTTCCGGCACCCGGTTCTGAGACTCCAGGGGCTGCGTGGACCGGGGGATCTCCAAGACCTCCAGGGGACGCCCCAGGCGGTTGAGCTCGTGGGGAGCCGGAAGGCTTGTGTCGACCGCCCCCGCGGAGAAGGAAACCAGGAAGAGCTTGTGGACGCACACGGCTTGCGTGTGCAGTCTTCCCAGGGGGCAGCTGCACGCGGGGCGTCCGTTCGGGTCCCAGTAGACAGTAGCAGGCAGGGCCTTCTTCCCGTCGGGCATGCCGATCGCCCTGAGTGTGCCGCGGCCCTTGGCGTCCCAGTTCGAGCAGTGCAGGACGGCGGCCCCCCCTTCCCGGAGCCCCTCGGGCCAGACGAACGCCGTCCCGTCCACCACGCACTGGATGAAGCGCTCTGCTTGGAGACGGGCGGGATCGTTGATGCCCAGCCGGCTCGCCTAAAACGAGAGGGAGTCGGGTCAGGGACGGGAAAGGAGTTTTTGCATCGAAGCCTGACGGTCAAAGTAGCCGACGATGCAAAGAGGATCAGCACCTGGGGTGTAGGAGTTTCTGAAAAGGTAAGGCACGTGCTTCTTTCATCGGAGGCAGCGGTCGAAGTACCGAACAAGGTATGATGGATTAATGCCTGAGATGCAAAAAACTTCGAAAAGGTAGACCTCGAGACGACTTACTATGGCACGGGTGAGTGGGGTCGGGCACTCGCGAGGGCGCACGGGGGGGAGCAGCTTCGCCTCTCGAGGCCGCTTTCCTACCGGGCCCTTGGCCGGGGGCAACCTCCTTTTGATGCACACCCCGCCGGTGCGCGCCGCCCTCGATACGGAGTCCGCCTTCTTGAGCGCGCCCAACTGCTTGAGGTCCAACGCCCACAGCTGCCGCCAAGGGCACATGCCCCCATCCTGGCGGAGGACGGGGGTGTCACCCAGGCGCAGCTCGCAGCGGTTGACGACGTGAAGCTTGGCCGTGGAGTGCTTCGCGACGCAGTCCCAGCACAAGATGGGTGCGAGGGCGCGGCCGGATGCGGGGCAGATCATGAAGCCGGTGTATCTGTGGCTGGTTTTCTTCACCAGGCTGAAGGTGCCCACCGGTTCCTTCCTGGGCTTGCCCTTCGCGTCCAGGCACGGCTTCCCGTCTGGGCCCAGCACGGGCCGGGTGTCCTTCACCTTCCACACGTGGGTGCAGATGGCGCACTTGCCGGTGATGTTGGCGTGCAGCGCCAGCTGCTCGTCCGTCCAGATGAGCCCCTGATGCAGAGCTCGGCCGGTGTGGTAGCCGTACGCCATGGTCGCCTTCGTTTCGATCGGCCTGCAGGGAAGGGAGACGGTTCCTTAAGTATGCATTCGGGGTGGTACGGCGGTCACTTCACGCAATCGAAACATGCATCGAGAGGTGGTGAATATACAACAGATCAGCCAGACGACTTAGAGAAGAAGAACGAAGCTGTAGGACAAGGATGAGAGTGTACCTGTAGGCCATATCGCTGAACGTTTTGATGAGGTCGTCCGTGAGGAATTCGTTTGGCGAAGCGGCTTTGCATCTGTTGATTCCCACCGATGCGGGCAGCCGTTGCTGTAAGGCGTCCGCCATGTTGCGTTGGAGGCGCCGTACCTGGAACGGAGTCAAACGAGGTGATCGACGGTTGTAGAGAACCCTAATTATGAAAATTCGTGGCAACCCACCAGCTCATATCTGAGTGAATTTTCGCGCCCACCTGTTGAGCTACATGCTTGTTGCAGAGAAACCTGAAGAGGGATTCGTGGCCTCATCGGGTCATGAGTGCTTTTCGTGGCACCGCCGGGCTAGAAAAAGCTACATACAAGTTGCCGAGAACCCTAATTCAGCAAAATTCCGTGTCATTCCGTGTCCCCATCAGCAGGTGCCAAGAACCTCAATTCAGAAAGTTATGTTCCCGAGTTATTTGCGAGCTATAAAAAGCTACATGCAAGTTGCCGAGAACCCTAATTCGGAGATATTCGTGTCACCATCAGCCCATGAATGTTTGCGCGCCCACCATCGAGTTAAAAAAGTTTCATGCTAGTTGCGGAGAACCCTAATCAAGAGAAATTCGTGTCCACCAACTTGAGAGCTTTTGGAGGCCACTGCTGAAATTCAATTTCCACTGCTAATTTGAAGGCAGAGCAAGAACCTGTTGCCAGTGCATGAGCTTCCCACCGCTGTGAACCATGCCACCACCTTTTCAAAGACAAAGCCAAGCTCAGAATGAGTTCTGACCAGAATGCCGAGTCCCCGGTGCCTCTGAGAACCATGCCATCACCTTTTCAAAGACACAGCCAAGCTCAGAATGAGTTTTGGCCAAAATGCCGTA